GGGGGGGGCTGTACTACGGTTGTTAAGTGGATCATGGGGTCTTTGAGTGAGTCTGTCATTCCCCCCCCCTGTTGATGTTGCTTGTCAAATCGGGCTGGGGAGGTCTGCAAATGGCCATCACACAACTCTGGGATGTTGCAACTGTTGTAAACGAATTGGGGGGTTTCTGGGGGATGTAAAGAAAGACCAGGCAGAGGGACCCCATGAGACCATCCGGAAGGGTCTCTTGATTCACCCTGACCTTTGCAAATCGCTTCAGAAGATTATCTCGCCATCCTAACCTGGGTTCTTTGTGCTTAATGGAGGCTGTGCAGGTGCGTTGGGAAACTGCAAATCCCAGAATTCCTAGGAGGGAAAAAAAAATGGGAACAGCAGCTAGGAATTGTGGGCGTTCTCTATTCCAGACTGGTCCGTTTCCTAGAAGGCGGTTTTACAACACTCAAGTTCTTATTTCGGCCTTTTGTGCCTCTTTGAAAAGCAGCACTTGAAAAAATGTTAACAATATCCTCAAGTCAAGCTTGAGTGATTTACACACCCGCAAAACACAACACACGCCTCCTTGCTTTAACCCGTTTAGCGTCTGCCTTACAAAATGCACCAGATGTGTGGCTTCTTCTGGAAAAAAATCATCTGGCAGGTTGCAGTTGGAAAGATTCCGACTTTACCGGTACTTAGCTATTTCCTTGTTTGAATCTCTTGTGGTTTTGTGTCTTTTTTTTCACTTTGGGGGAATTTAAATTTTTACTTTTTGGACTGTTTGAATTGGCTTTTAAGCTGCTGGCTCTTGAGCTATTCCTGATTTTATTTAGGAATTTCATTATTCCACGAAGTCGTGCTCTGATTTTCTATTATTTTATGAACAGGGGTGTTTACATATCTATCTACAGCATATATCAATATATTTATATCTGTATCATGTAAACATAGACATGCATGCATTGATGGTCTATACATGTATATGTGTGTATGTATAAGGGGTGTGTGTATCTTTATATCTGTCTAAAGTGTTCTTAATGTCCTAATTGTTTTATATTGTTATTTTATGAGAATAGAGGACCAGAATCGCTTGATAGTGAGATGGGTGGCATATAAATTGTAATATACAAATACGGGCAGATCTCAACTTGCAAAAATTCATTTAGTGACTGTTTGAAGTTACGGCCACACTGAAAAACACAGCCCTTGCAGCATCCCCACAGTTATGTGATCAAAATTTGGACCCTTGGCAACTGACTCATATTTATGACGGTCGCAGTGTCCCAGGGTCACGTGATCCCCTTTTGCAACCTCCTGACAAGCAAAGTCAATGGGGAAGCCGGTTTCGCTTAACGACCGTGTTGCTAACTGAGCAAATGCAGCGACTCCCTTAACGACCGTGGCTGGAAAGGTCGTAAAATGGTGCAAATTTCACTTAAACGAATTGTCTCGCTGAGCGACAGAAAATTTGGCCTCCGTTGTGATCTTAAGTCAAGGGCTACCTGTAAATTATAAGTAAATCATGTATAAATTTATATATAAACAAATTAGGGTGTGTGTGTGTTCTGTTCTGAGTCCTTTGGAGCTCACCTGGATAAAAATATAGAGAACGTATCTTTTAAAAAAATAATAAGAGGGAAAAGCCAAAAGAGATTTTTCTGATTTTTTTTTTCTTTTTTTGGTGGTGACTATGATCAGCCAGCTTTAGCAGGAAGCAGACTTGTAAATCACCTGTCACAGATAGACTGTGCCTGACCCTGGAGGTTCTATTCCTCCCAAGCCTGTGTGAGGTCTGAGGGTTGTGACTTCATACGTGTGTGCAAATAAGTGTGATTTTGTTCTTTTTCTCCTTTTGTGCTACAGCTCTCAGTAACTTTAGGACCATGCCTAAATAAATTGGAACATGTTTGTTTAGTTAATTCAGAGGCTGTCTGAATTCTCAGTGACTTTGGATACCTTAAAATAATTCAAGAAAAATAATAGTTTAAAATATAATGAACGTATCTATAGGTCCATGTTTATAAAATTGCAGTAGTAGCAACGTTGTCCCATTTTTTTCTATCAGCCAGCATTCATGATTATTTAATTCGTTTTCTCCTGTTGACTACACAACTGCCACTAAAATCCATGTGTAAAATA